AGTTCATGGACCACAAATCGAGTTGTTCACTTAGGAAACGGCACCGTTACCCATTCCATCTTAGTTTTTCCAGAATGCCCTTACCCGCTATTAGGGCGGGACCTACTTCACAAACTTGGAGCCACCATCTCCTTCTGCAAAAATCAGGCCTGCCTCCCTATCCCCGCTTTGCCCTCTGTATCAAAAGCACCTCAGCAAAGCCTCATCACCTGTGCTCTGTCAGACAAGTATCTCTTACAGGAAGCATTATCACCAGAGACAAATCAGGCATTAACATCGGACTTCCTCCGCCAATTCTAGGAGAGTGTACCCGGACTGTGGGCTGAGACCAATCCCCCAGGTCTGACAAAAGGTTACTTATCTGGGCTATATCACAGAAAAAGGCACCCGGGCACTGGCGCCCAGCCGTGTCCCTCAGTACTACAGGTACCCACTCCTACCACAAAACGCCAAGTTTGGCAGTTCCTTGGGGCGGGAGGGTACTGTGGGCTATGGATTTTAGGTTTTGCCAAAATAGCGAAGCCTCTGTATGCCTGCACAGGAGGAAATCAACCCCTAATTTAGACAGTAGTAGAACAACAGGCTTTTGATACACTTAAAGCCGGTCTGACCTCGGCCCCAGCCCTGGCCTTGCCAGATATTTCTAAACCCTTCCGGTTGTTTGTACATGAAAAACAAGGAATCGCAAAGGAGATGTTCACCAGACATTCGGACCATGGTCCAGGCCGGTCGCCTACCTATCAAAAAGACTTAATCCTGTAGCTTCTGGGTGGCCAGCCTGCCTTTGGTCCATGGCAGCAATAGCCCTGTTGGTAAAGGAGGTGGACAGACTGACTTTGGGGCAGGAATTAAACCTAGTGGCACCCCATGCAGTAAAATCATTACTCCGAGGGGCTCCAGGAAGGTGGGTGTCTAATGCCCGCATAGTACAGTGTCAGGCTCTACTCTTGGACCAGCCCTGCATCAAGTTCCTGAAGACTACAGTCCTAAATCTGGCCACACTGCTGCCTAATAGTGAGCCAGAAGAACCCATACATAACTGTCAACAAATAATAGATGCCATCCAAACCACTCAACTGGACCTCACCGACTTCCCGTTATGGAACCCGGAAGAGGTACTGTATAAGGATGGCCGCAGTTTTATGCTCAACAGAGTCAGGTATGCGGGGAGCAGCTGTAGTTACCCTAGAGCGGGTCATCTGGGCCCAGGCCCTTCCACATGGGACGTCAGCCCAAAACGCTGAACTTAGAGCCCTGATAAAAGCCTTAAACTGGGCAGAGGGAAAGACTGTCACTATTTATACCGTCAGCTGTGATGCCTTCACTACAGCTTATGTACATGGAGCAATATGCAAAGAAAGAGGACTGCTTACCTCAGAAGGAAAAGCTATAAAAATAAAGAGGAAATTCTAGCCCTGCTGGAGGCTATATGGAAGCCCAAGACTGTGGCATTAGTCCATTGCAAGGGGTACCAAAAGGGAGATTCACCAGAGGCGAGGGGAAACAGGGCTGCTGACTTACAGACCAGGCAGGCAGCCATGGGCCAGTGAAACCACTGACCCTCCTCGTAACCCTGCCCGCCCCAGTTCTGCCCCCTACTCCCACATACTCAGGTGAGAAGGACTTTGCAAAGGAACAGGGTGCCACACAGGGCTCCGCAGGATGGTGGATACTGCCAGACCAAAGGATCGTGGTCCCTGAGGCTCTAGGACGGGCCCTAGTTAAGGACACACACCAGGCCACTCACTTAGGACAGACCAAACTCACTGAGCTGCTGAAAGCCAAGGACTACATTCCCCATTTACATGAACTTATCAAGGAAATCACTACTTGGTGTGATGTATGTGCCCGAGTAAATCCGGGAGGGAACAGGTCTAGCCAGGTGGGAGTGAGACTCAGAGGGGCTGGCCCTGGGGAGCACTGGGAAGTAGATTTCACTGAAATAAAACCCCCAGCAAATGGCTATAAATACCTCCTGGTGTTTATAGATAACGTTCTCTGGATGGGTCGAAGTCTTCCCCACTAGGTCCGAGACTGCTTTGGTGGTCAGAAAAAAACTATTACAGGACCTTGTTCCTCGGTTCAGCCTCCGTCTAAACGCTGGGGTCAGAAAATGGGCTCGCCTTTACTGCACAAATTTCTCAGGGCCTAACCAAGGCCCTGGGTATATCCTGGAAATTACACTGTGCCTATCATCCCCAGAGTTCAGGACAGGTCAAAAGAATGAACCGGACCCTAAAAGAAACCCTAACAAAATTTATCCTAGGGACCAGTGAAAACTGGGTCAGCCTGTTTCCTTTGCCCTCCTCTGTGTCCAATGCACCCCCTATCAGAAAGGTATCTCCCCTTTTAAAATCATGTTCAGCAGGCCCCCTCCCTTACTCCCCAGACCAGTGGATACGGTGCATGCTGAAATCCATCACTAGACACTCCTCAAGTCCTTACAGGCGCTCCAGTCTCTTCAATCCCAGGTACGCCAGCTCATTAAGGATACCCGTCCCACCCCATTGGACCTCACAGACCAGCTGACACAACCCTTCCAGCCCTGAGACTCTGTCCTTGTTAAAAGATTCGCCACCTCCGGCCTCACCCTCCGTTGGAAGGAACCGTACAGGGTTATCCTGACCACACCCACTGCACCCAAGGCCTGGACTCATCACATCCACGTCAAGACTGCCCCACTGCAAGGACAATGGAATGTCAAACATTCATCCCCCAATTCACTAAGACTTGTGCACTCTTACCTACTCCACCCTAATCCGTGCTGTAAATCCCTATCGTCATCCCTCTACTGGTTGAATTAGGCATTGCTGGCTCCAATGCAGTTGGAATATCAGCTCTTATAACTGGGGACCAAAATTTTAAAACTCTCTCTCGGCACATAGATACTGATTTAAGCCACCTGGAAAACTCCATTTCCCAACTCACTGATCAGGTTGAGTCTTTGGCTAAAATGGTCCTCCAAAACAGGTGAGGGCTAAATTTGTTATTCTTAAAACAAGGGGGGTTATGTGCCCCCCTTAATGAACAATGTTGCTTCTATGACAATAGGTCATGCCTCATCCTAGAGAGCCTCTCCCTGGTCAGACAAAATCTTGAAACCAGAAAACAACTTCAAGAGGTTTCAGAAAGTTGGTATCAAAAAATGTTTTCCGGCCGGGCGCAGGGGCTCACGCCTGTAATCCCAGCACTTTGGGAGGCCAAGGAGGGTGGATCACAAGGTCAAAAGATCGAGACCATCCTGGTCAACATGGTGAAACCCCGTCTCTACTAAAAATACAAAAATTAGCTGGACATGGTGGCAAGTGCCTGTAGTCCCAGCTACTCGGGAGGCTGAGGCAGGAGAATTGCTTGAACCCAGGAGGCGGAGGTTGCGGTGAGCCGAGATCACGCCATTGCACTCCAGCCTGGGTAACAAGAGCGAAACTCCGTCTCAAAAAAACAAAAAACAAAACAAAACAAAAAAGACCCTGCAATTTGGCCTAGCCTTTGTCTTGGTGATTTTGCGCTCACTCAGTTCAGGGGCACGGGCTGTATCATTCACACCAGGGGCCTCTGGAGCAGCAGTTTCTTCATTGGAAAGAGTTTGCAGGATTATATACTGACTTCCTCTGGGAGGCAGCCTGGTGATATGTTTAATTAAATATACCCTGGTAACCTTTAAGAGGATGTTAAACTCTTGATTTACATTTTTATACTAAGCCCTTAGGGAGAAAATACATATATCAGTTTGAAGCAAAGAGTTTCAGGGCATTGAGCTGAGTACAAAGGTTGAATTTCGTAAATTAGATAAATGGTTAACATTTTAATTTTACTTTCTCAGACTCCTATTTTAATAAAGGCACTCTACTTAGGGGCTTAACATGAGAATAGATACAGATGAGATACCTACACCAATAGTTCTCACCAATAGTTCTCAACACCCTGGAGGCGGTGTTGCCTGCAGGGGACATTTTTCAGTGCCTGGAGACACTTTTGTTTGTCACAGCTGGTGGGGGAGTGGTACTACTGGCATCTGGTGGGCAGAGGCCAGGGATGTTGCTAAACACCCCATAGCACACAGGAGAATCCCCCAAACATAGGATTATCTGGCCCAAATGTCCGTAGTACCAAGGTCGAAAATCCTAATCTACACTATAATGTATAGAATAAGTTCAACCTGTGTATTCTAAAATGAAAGGCTCTCCATGGTATACTGTTAGGTGAAATAAAGAAGTTGCAAAATTGTGTGTTTGTGTATACGTGCATGATAAGCAGTTGCAAAAGTAAAGATAGAATCTTACTGAATTTTTACCCAAGGTACCTCCTGGGGTCATTCACGTGAGCCCCTGCTATGACCCAGGGATCATTTCAGGGCCTGGAAGCAGAATAAAGACAGGATAGGCAAGGCCCCATTTTTGAGGAACTTACATTCTGGAAGGAGTCGAAAGCAACAATAAAACAAGTGAGAAAATAGAAAACAAGTCTCGGCACAGTGGCTCGCCTGTAATTCCAGCACTTTGGGAGGCTGAGGTGGGTGGATCATGAGGTCAAGGTATCGAGACCATCATGGCCAACATGATGAAGGCCCAACCCCATCTCTACTAAAAATACAAAAATTAGCTGAGCATGGTGGCACACACCTTAGTCCCAGCTACTTGGGAGGCTGAGGCAGGAGAATCGCTTGAAGCCAGGAGCTGGAAGTTGCAGTGAACTAAGATTGTGGTATTGCACTCCAGCCTGGTGACGGAATGAAACTCTGTCCAAAAAAAAAAAAAAAAAAAGAGAGAGAGAGAAAATAAAATAATTCCAGATAGTTTATATATTCCCATGTGGCTTGGATTTTTTATGACAAACAATGCATTCAATTTCTGATTAAGAGTCTAACTCCTACCTGGATGGCCAAGGTGGGAGGGTCACTTGAGCTCAGGAGTTGAGACCAGCCAGGGCAATAAAACAAGACCCCATCTCAAAAAAAAAAAAAAGACTTATTCCTCCACTCCCTCACAGTGAATCATTACCTGCCATGGGGTAAGAAGATGGATTCTTTCTATCTGATTTGGTGGGTGGCTGGGGCTCTCGGATTTGGTGGGTGGCTCTTGTGGATGAACCCAGCAATCTGGAAGAGAAAACACACCCAGGAGAGGTGGGGAGAGGCACAGGTGAGGTCGGATGCACCACATCTAGGCACGACTGCTGCTTCCTGGCAGACATGCAAACACGTCAAAGAAAGACCTCTCAAGAGAGGCCAGGAGTTGGCCGGGCGCGGTGGCACAAGCCTGTAATCCCAGCACTTTGGGAGGCCAAGGCGGGTGGATCACAAGGTCAAGAGATCGAGACCATCCTGGTCAACATGGTGAAACCCCGTCTCTACTAAAAAAAATATAAAACATTAGCTGGGTATGGTGGCACGTGCCTGTAATCCCAGCTACTCAGGAAGCTGAGGCAGGGGAATTGCCGGAATCCAGGAGGCGGAGGATTCAGTGAGCCGAGATCGAGCCATTGCACTCCAGCCTGGGTAACAAGAGCGAAACTCCATCTCAAAAAAAAAAAAGAGAGGCCAGGAGTCTTCTGGAGGTTTAGACCCCAGAGGACAAGCTGTGCAGAATTTCAAAAAACATACTTTTTTTCTTTTTTTTGAGAGGACTCAGAACCTTCTACCCAGGCAGTCGCACAGCAAAGGACCTAGGAAATGAGCCATGGTAGGAAGCAAGAGGTGAGCCTCTTTGGCCTTCCTGACTTCCCCAAGTTTTCCCCTTCAGATGGAGCAGAAAGCCAGGGGATCAGTGAGCCACCACATGGCTGCTGGGTGCCTGCATGCCTCGGCTGGTGCTGTGGACACTGCTGGGCCAGCACTGGCCATTGTACGCCCTTTCCCTCACCTGAAAATAACAGGAATTGGTTTAGACCTGGGCTCTAATCAGAAGTCTCTGAGATTCTCCAGGGAGGCAGCGGAGGCCAGGGGAGACCCCCCCACACCATACCCCACCCCACTCTACCCCTCCCCATCCCCCGTCAGTTTCCTGCTCTGGTCATTGTAGCTTCGGGCCCTGCAGCACATCCCCCACCCCTCTGTGCCTCAGCCTCCTCGTCGTCAACAAAGTCACAGCATGGCCCAGAAGAGTGAGGAAGAGTGAGAAAGAAATGGCTGCAATGTGCAGTGGCTGACACACATGGGGCCCGGGGAAAATGTGAGTTCCCCCAGGGGGGCCTCAAAGGCTCGAGGGAGCACCACGGCCTCACCCCCGTCCTGGCCATCTCTGAAATTCTGGTTTCCTTCTGGGAGAGACAAGGTGCCTCCAATACACCCACTCTCCCCACCAGAAAAAAACAGCTCGGATAAAACTCTACAACAAAAAAGCAAACAACTTGATGCAAATATGGGCAGAGGGTTTGCATAGGCCTTTGATGTATGAATGGCCGGTAAGTCACCAAAAGATGCTTAGCATCACTAATCATGAGGGAAATGCAAGTCAAAACCAGGATGAGATCCCATCTCATACCCATTAGAATGGCGACTACTACCAAAAAACCAGAAAGGAACACATGTAGATGATGATGCGGAGAAATTGGAACCCTGGGCACCGCTGGGGGAAGGTCGCATGCTGCAGCTGCTGCACTCCAGCCTGGGTGACAGAGTGAGACTTTGTCTCAAGAAAAAAGAGAAAGAAAAAGAAAAAAAAGCCTGTTTGGTTGAATATTGCCTCAAAAAAAAAAAAAAAAAAGTTGAGTGGTAGTAGATGCAGTCAGAGAGGCGGGAGGGTTCGGACCCCTTCTAGGGTAGGGATGAGGATTTTATTCTAAGCGTGACAGAAAGCACTTGGAGTCTCTTAAGCTAGAGAGTAATTTGGAACGATGGCCAGTTGAGGTGGCTCACACCTGTAATCCCAGCATTTCGGGAGGCTGAGGTGGGGGGAATCACCTAAAGTCAGGAGTTTGAGACCAGCCTGGTCAACATGGTGAAACCCCATCTCTACTAAAAAATACAAAAATTAGCTGGGTATGGTGGCATGTGCCTGTAGTCCCAGCTACTCAGGAAGCTGAGGCAGGAGAAGCCCTTGAACGTGGGAGGTGGAGGCTGTAGTGAACCAAGATTGTGCCATTGCACTCTAGCCTGGGTGACAGAGTAAGACTGTGTCTCAAAAAAAAAAAAAAAAAAAAAAAAAATTAGTGATATGAAATGATTTACCAGTGTTAATGATGCCAGTGTTTACAGACCAAGAGAACACCTTATTCTGGTTCCCAGAGTGATTACCCAACAACATGCTGTTTGTATGAAATGTTTCATTTCCACTCCTCTAAGCAGGGCATCCATTCTTCAGTGTCCCCAGGCTCACCATTCCCTTTTGCATTCCTTGGCCCAGTTTACATGTTTACATCATATGTCTGGTGGCATGCAAGTCTCCAACCCCCTAGTGGTTAAGAATAAGAATCTGAGGTCCAAGAGCTGAGCAATTCAGCTCTATGTGAGTGGCTCAGCTCTATTTTTGATACTATCTGAAATAGTGGAGAAAGACTCCAACCCAGACTCTTGACTTGCAGTGTGTCACTGTTCACTTCAACCCAGCCACTTCTCTTGGTACCCCATCCATAGCAGTGACAGTTTTCTCCCTCGTTAGAAACTATGCACCTACCCAGGCCTACAGGAAAAAATAGCCATGTGGTTACTAAAGTAGGTCAAATGGGCCCTGATATTTTTGATGTGTTCATTGATGAAATATCTTTCTTTTGTTTTTAATACAGAGTCTCGCTCTGTCACCCAGGCTGGAGTGCAGTGGCGCAATCTCGGCTTACTGCAACCTCTGCCTCCTGGGTTCCAGTGATTCTCCGGCCTCAGCCTCCCAAGTAGCTGGGACTACAGGCGCCCACCACCACACCGGCTAATTTTTTTGTATTTTTAGTAGAGAAGGGTTTCACCACGGATGGTCTTGATCTCCTGACCTCGTGATCCGCCCACCTTGGCCTCCCAAAGTGCTGGGATTACAGGCTTGGGCCACATTATTTCATCTTAATCGCATGCAGAAGTTATTTTGTAATGTTTTCACTTTATTTCCTGTGCCTCTTTCCATGTGGACAGGCCCCCTGCTGGGCATTCTGATACACACAACATTTCACAATGTATTCAGAGTGTGTATTCATGCTGCAACTACACCAATGCCTGCATACCCTTTGGTTCCCCCTTTCGTATTTCTGGGACCTTAAGTCATTTCCATTTTTTCCCAGAACTATGAACAGCACTGCTAGAAGTGTATATTATTTAATACATATTCCTTTTCATGTATTTCTTTGGCTGAGATCGTTGGAGATTAACAGTCAATCTGATCCATTTTTTTTTTTTTTTTTTTGAGATCGAGTTTCGCTTTTGTTACCCAGGCTGGAGTGCAATGGCGTGATCTCGACTCACCGCAACCTCTGCCTCCTGGGTTCAGGCAATTCTCCTGCCTCAGCCTCCTGAGTAGCTGGGATTACAGGCACGCGCCACCATGCCCAGCTAATTTTTTGTATTTTTAGTAGAGACGGGGTTTCACCACGTTGACCAGGATGGTCTTGATCTCTTGACCTTGTGATCCACCCGCCTCGGCCTCCCAAAGTGCTGGGATTACAGGCTTGAGCCACCGCGCCCGGCAATCTGATCTATTTTTTCAGAGATTAAAGGTTAAAGAAGCTGATTTTGGCCAGCCGTCTGTAATCCTAGCACTCTGGGATCATTGGAGAGTAAGTTAATCTGATCTAATTTTTCAGAGGCTAAAGGTTAAAGAAGCTGATTTTGGCCAGCCATCTGTAATCCTAGCACTCCAGGCGGATGGATCACCTGAAGTCAAGAGTTCGAGACAGGCCTGGTCAACATGGTGAAACTCCCATCTCTACTAAAAACACAAAAATTAGCTGGGCATGGTGGCGGGCGGCTGTAATGTCAGCTACTCGGGAGGAACCCGAGAGGCAGAGGTCTCAATAAGCTGAGACTGCCTCACTGCACTCCAGCCTGGGAGAGGAAAAAGAAAAAAAAGAAAAAAGCTGATTTTTTTTTTTTTTTTTTTTCAGAGAGACTATAGGTTAGAGAAGCTGATTTTTTTCAGACTGCCACAATGTACTTGACAAAAGCAGCGCAAGCCACTGTGCTCAGCCGCGCCTTCAGGCAGGGGCCTAAACCCCGGTACCCCCTTTTCAGAGTGACCTCGGGCCCGCTGATTCCTACTTGTAATATGACTATGATAGCAGCACCCGCTCCATAGGGTTGAGGCCAGATTCCACCAGACGATTCGACACCGGGGCCGTATGGGCGCGTTCCGTGAAAGCCAAGCACGATCCCATGTTCAGAATGGTCCCTGGTCCGGCCGCGACGACCCGCAGGTCCAGGTAGCCGGCCAGGTGAAATTCCGGAGAGCGCCCTGGATCTCCCGTCCGGGAACTGTCCCTCCCAAGTCCCCCGGTCCCCGACCGGGGATCACTCACCCTCCGACCAGCACTCGCCCCAGTAGGAGCCTCAGGATTGGGACCCGCGCCTCCCAAAGGGCCGCTGTCGGAGTTGCGCCGGTTTCCGGCCGCACAGGGCCGCGCACTGTCAGACGCCTGGCGGGCAGGAGCGCTGCGACTGCGCCCTCGGGGACCAGGGGCTAGCGCCGACTCAAGCAGCCCTGGACCTGCCCTGCACCGCGGAACTGCAGGCCTTTTTCAGCCGCACGCTTGCCATACAGAGGCCCCGCCCGTCCCCGCCCCCGAGCCCCGCCCACACCTTCCTCGGCCAGTGCCTCTCCTCAATCCGTGCCCGCCCACGCCCAGGCCCCGCCTCCACATCGGCGTCCCGCCCCACCCTCGCCTCGGTCCCTAAGCTCCGCCCACTCCTCGCCCCTGAGGTCTGCCCCGGGCCTCGCCCAGCAGTCCGGGGTTGGGGAGGACCCTGCTGGCTTCCGGAGACGTGGAAACTGGACTGATAAAATTCAACAAATTCAGCGCAGGGATGCTGTGCCGAGAGGAGGGACGCCCCTGCCCTTCGCCTCCCCCTCCCTCCCGGCAGGTATTCCAGGTTGTAGAATGAGATCCGTGGTGCAAATGAAAGAATGAGCCACTAATAGACCCATCAGCCTGCTGGGATCTCCGGGGGAGTTACGCTGGTGAGAGAAGCCAGTCCCAAAGGTCACTCACCCACAGAGCCGCTGGTGTACTGGTATTATGCAAGATTCCCCACTAAAGGTCGTGCACGGATGATTCATTCCAAAAGACGGAGGCGAGAAGTGCAGCTCATCAGCGGTGCTCAGGAGTTAGGGAGGCGGGTGGATGTGGCTATAAAAGCGCAACCCAGGGGGTGCCTGTGGAGGAAATCTGCGTCCTGAGGAACGCGACACGCTGTTGGGACACCGGACCGTCCTTCGCGAGATGCCACCATCGGGGGAAACCGGATAAAGGGTGCATGGTTCCAAAGAAAATGCTCGATTAAAGGAAAATGGCATAAGGCCAAGGAAATGCCCAGAAAATGGAAAGTCTTGGAACCAGAGCCGCTGGGGGGTTGAGCCGGGCGGTGCTGGTGAAGTTAGGGTGTATTGTCTCTTTTCCCAGCGCTCGCTGGCTTCTGCCACCCCATTTGGCAGCCATCTGCCACTGTGACCTCCCCAAATTCTATAACTTGATTTCTGGTGTCCCAGAAATAGAGACCAGAAACGTTGATGTCCCACTCCAACAATAGAGCAGAAGGAAGGAAGGTTTCCCCTGTGTTCAGAATGTTCCTAACAAAAATAACTGCAACTGTTGATCGTACTTCCTATGAGTCGTTGGGACTCTCTCTCTCAGATATTTATTGGGTCATTCATTCGTTCGCTTTAACTCACAGTGGCCTTCCCCATTCTAAGGTGCAGTGCTGGGATTGGTCTGTGTGTTGATGTTCTTCTTGTCTTCAGAGGTGAGAATGTGGCCTCTCTCTGAGATGCCCTCTTGCCCCTGAACTCCCCAGCGGGGAACAGGCTGCCCATGAGTCCAGATCCTGGGGGCACTTTTCATTTAGGAATGGAACAGCAGAGCCCGGGAGCATTGGCGCCTGGGCGTCCATCGTGCGAGTCTGTGATGCAACGTCACCACCTTGTGGCAGCAACGAGAGATCACAAAGTGGGCTGAGCAAGTCGCTCCGTGTTTGGGGTTGGAAGCTGGGCTGGCCGAGTTCCCTGGGTCTTTTGGATCGTGTAAGTTTTGAATGCTGGTAGATTCCAGGACAGTTCAGTAGGAGCCCATCCTCAAAAGGAAAATATCAGAACTTCCTGCTAATCTGCTAGTGGGGCTGAGCAATTACTGCAAACAAATGAGATGTGACCATAATTGCATTATGAGTTTGAGGAGGAGGTCATGCTATTAAAACGAGATAGTCAACTCCAACGACTAACATAATCTCTGGGGGTTTCCAGATTCTCACTTTTCATTTAATCCCTAGCCTTAGTGAAATGCAAGAGTAGGAATGTCGGCATTCTGGGCAGGGAGACAGGTGAGGCAGGTACACATTTCCTCTTCTCTCCAATGCCCATATTTCTATTTCTGAATAAAATGGACCATCGTGGAGCTAAGGTAAGGCTAACCAAACTTAGTTAAGCCACTTCCTGAAGAGATCATTGCTTCTGATTTTATTTAATGAGATTTCTTTTCCTTCTGCTACCAGCATCCCCATTCCTTTGGAAAAATGTTTCCTTATAATAACATAAAGGTCTTGAGATTTTTCGGTTTCGTTTTTGGGTATCAAAATCTTTATAACATGAAATTTGCTATTTTCACCATTTTAAATGTATAATTCAGTGGCATTATACATTATACTTCAGAGTGCTGTGCAACCATTACAGATATTTATTTTCAAAAGGTTTTCATCATCCTAAATAGAAACACTTGGATCGGGCACGATGGCTCATGCCTGTAATCCCAGTACTTTGAGAGGCTGAGGTGAGCAGATCACCTGAGGTCACGAGTTTGAGACCAGCCTGGCCAACATGGCGAAACCCCATCTCTGCTAAAAATACAAAAATTAGCCAGGCGTGATGGCATACACCTGTAATCCCAGCTACTCAGGAGACTGACACAGGAGAATTGCTTGAACCCAGGAGACAGAGGCTTCAGTGAGCTGAGATCGTGCCACTGCACTCAGCCTGGGTGACAGAGCAAGACCCGTCTCAAACAAAAACAAAAACAAATAGAAACACTGCAATCATTGGATAAAAAATTCCCTTTCTCCCCTCCTTCCACTCCCAGTAGCTTCTAATCTACTTTCTGTCTCCATGAATTTGTCTATTTCATGTGTTTCATGTAAATGGAATCCTACAAGATATGGCCTTTTCACTCAGTTTCACCTGTAATCCCAGCACTTTGGGAGACCGAGATGGGTGGATCACAAGGTCAGGAGATCGAGACCATCCTGGTCAACATGGTGAAACCCCGTCTCTACTAAAAATACAAAAAATTAGCTGGGCATGGTGACACATGCCAGTAATCCCAGCTACTCAGGAGGCTGAGGCAGGAGAATTGCCTGAACCCAGGAGGCGGAGGTTGTGGTGAGCCGCATTGCACTCCAGCCATTGCACATCGCGCCATTGCACTCCAGCCTGGATAACAAGAATGAGACTCCGTCTCAAAAAAACAAAAACAAAAACAAAAACAAAAAACCTTGTTGCTGAGTTTTATCCATGTTGTAGCATGTATCAAAAGTTCATTCCTTTTCACGGCCGAATAATAGAAAAATGCGTATACTGCTTGGCCAACTTGGTGAAACTCTGTCTCTACTAAAAATACAAAAATTAGTCAGGCATGTTGGCGGATGCCTGTAATCCTAGCTACTCAGGAGGCTGAGGCGGAAGAATCACTTGAACCCAGGAGGTGGAAGTTGCAGTGAGCCGAGATCTTGCCATTGCACTCCAAACTGAGCGACAAGAGCAAGACTTTGTCCCCCCACCAAAACAAGAAAAGTGTGTGTACCAGGCATTGTTTATCCACTTATCTGTTGTTTGACTACCGTGAACAATATTGCAATAATTATTGGTGTACAAGTATCTGTTTCAGTCAATCTCTGTGTTCAATACTTTTGGTTATATGCCTTAGAGTGGAATTGTTGGTATTACGACAATTCTATGGTCATCCTCTGTTTAGCTTTTTGAGGAACAGCCAAACTGATTTCCACAGTGTCTACACCATTTTGCCGTCCCACCAACAATGTACACAGGTTCTAATTCCTCCACATTCTCACAAACATTTGTTATGTTCCTTTTTCTTCCTCTAAATTATAGCCATCTTTGCAAGTGTGAAGTGGTATCTCATCGTGGTTTTGATTTGCAGTTCCCTAATGACTAATGACTTGGAGCATCTTCTCATGTGCTTCCTGGCCATTTATATACCTCCTTGCAGAAATGTCTATTCAAGCCCTTTCTTGAGAATTTAATTGGGTTGTTTATTTGTTGTGGAATTGTAGGTTTTTAATATATATTCTGGATACTATCAGATACAGAATTTGCAAATATTTTCTCCCATTCTGTAGGTTGTCTTTCACTTTCTTGAAAATGTCCTTTGATATAAAAATTTCACTTTTTAAAAATTAACTCCAATTTACCTATTTTTTTGTTGTTTCTTCCCGGGCTTTTAGTATCATATCTAAGAACCCCTATTGCCAAACACAAGATCATGAAGACTTACCCTTATGTTTTCCTCTAAGAGTTGTATGATTTTAGTTCTTATAGTTAGGATGACCATAGAATTGTCGTAATACCAACAATTCCACTCTAAGGCATATAACCAAAAGTATTGAACACAGAGATTGACTGAAACAGATACTTGTACACCAATAATTATTGCAATATTATTCACAGTAGTCAAACAACAGATAAGTGGATAAACAATGCCTGGTACACACACTTTTTTTTTTTTTGCATGTGGTGTGAAGTAGAGCCCAACTTTGGTCTTGCATGTGGAAATCTGTTTCTCCCACATCATAAATTAAAGAAACTATTATTTCATCATTGAATGGACTTGGCACTCTTGTCAAAAATCCTTTAGCCACAGGTGTATGGATTTATTGAGGAGCCCTTGTACATCTCTGCTAGCTTTTAAGATTCTCCCTTTATCTTACACAGGCATATCTGCCTTATTCTGCTTCACTTTAGAGTACTTCCACAGATATTGCCTTTTTTTTTTTTTTTTTTTTTTTTTTTTTTTTTTTTTTTTAGCAAATTGCAGGTCTGTGGCAACTCTGTGTCAAGCAAGTCTATCTGTATGTCATCAATATTATTATCGATTATTATATCATGATTCCTCAGAAAGGTTATATCATCTATTGACACCTCTAGCATGGGTTAGTGACACATACAGCAGATACTGACACTCTGTTTGTCACCAAATTGTGTGTGAGTTGATCAAAGCGATCTTTGAGTGAATCTAGTTTCCCCTCTAGTAGGACCTGCCTAGGTAGAGATAAAATATTTTTTCACCACTTACATTAATCTAGATTTAGATATAGTTGCCCTCCTGTATTTGTGTGTTCCATATCCACTGATTCAACCAACCTTCAATGAAATATATTTGGAAAAAAAGCAATACAATTTTTAAAAATCCTACAAATAAAAAATACAGTGTTAACAACTATTTACATATCATTTACATTGTATTAGGTACTATATGTAATCTAGAGATTATTTACAGTATATGGCAGAATGTACAAAGGTTATGTGTCAATATTATGCCATTTTATATC